GAAGGCATGGAAGGCAAAGCAAAAGGCTATTGTGAAAGTTTTTGTTGACTGGGACGAGTCGTATGCGTTCTTACCTAGGTGGCTGGATTACATGTTGCGTTTTTCTCCCGGATCATTTCATTGATGGATGCCTAGACCAAGCTCACAAGGTTTTCAGAAGGGTGTTTTGGACATTTAAACAGTGTTGTGAAGCATTCAATTATTGCAAGCCAATAATCTTGATCGATGGAACACATCTATATGGCAAATATCGTGGGACCCTAATGATTGCTACAGCTGTTGATGGCAACAATTACATTCTTCCAATTGCATTCGCTATCGTGTCTGCGGAGAATACTGACAACTGGTCATGGTTCTTAGCACTTATTCGAATACATGTTACGCAAAAACACGGAATCTGTCTGATTTCTGATCGGCATGCGGGTATCTTGTCTGCAGTCAACAATGCTGATCTAGGATGGTCTCCACCACAGGCATATCATGTGTATTGCCTTCGCCACGTGGCCAGTAATTTCAATCACAAGTTCAAGAATGTCATGTTGAAGAAGCAGTTGAAGAAGTTAGGTATGTTTTCAATTGGTCTGATTCGTTTAATGGACAACAGGTAGTAATGTTTTTTGTGTGCCATGTGTAGGATATACAACATCGCGCTTTGACTTTGATGCTGGTTTAGAGAAATTTAGAGAAACAAGCCCTCAAATAGCTGCTTGGATTGATCGCATCCCGAAAGAGAAGTGGAGCATCTCTTACGATGAACAAGGAAGAAGGTTTGGCCACATGACAACTAATCTGTCAGAGTGTGTTAACAAAGTTTTAAAAGGGGCAAGAAACCTTCCAATTACGTCACTTGTGCGTATAACTTACAGTAGACTGGTGGCATATTTTTTAGAGCACGGACAGGAAGCCCGTGAGGAGCTTGACAGAGGTAATCGCTTCGCCAAAGTCATGTGGCGACTATATGTTGACAATCAAAGTAAAGCTGCGACACATTACGTAACATCTTATCACGCGCAAAGGACAAGATTTGAAGTGCAAGAGTCGTATAATGTACGGACTCATCGCGACGGACGAAAATGGTCGGTTTCGTTATCTGACCGTACATGTCAGTGTGGTGAGTTCACTGCTTTCAGGTTCTCGTGTAGCCATGTCATTGCGGCATGTACATCGACGCATCACGATCCCACACTGTACATAGACCCTGCATACAGTGCCAAGAATCAATGTGAAATTTATTCGGGTCAATGGTATCCAATTGGTAACGAGGATTTCATACCGCCATTTGCACATGCAACAGTTATACCAGATGTGTCTATGAGACGTCAACGGGGGAGGCCAAGAAGTACACGTATTCACAATGAAATGGATTCGCGTGAAGGGGCAATTACTCGAACAAGGTGCGGTTATTGTAGGGTTGTTGGGCATAATAAACGAAATTGTCCTTCGCGCCAGCAACCACAGCAGTGAATGAGTCTTAAATATTTATTATATGCGTAAGTAACATGTGTATTTAGTTATTCGCAAAAGTAGTGATGTATGTACACTGACATGTTGGCTTTGTTATAATATTTAGTACCGCCATTTACATTTTATTGTATTTCAATGCTTCTTTTTGGCAGGAACATAACCATAATTATAAAGAAAACATCATTTGTAACAATATTGTATTACCAAAGTAAACAACGATAATCATAGCAATTACAACAACTACATAAGTCGCGCATAACATATCGTCACCAAGACAAGTGCAAAATATACGTACATAACAGTCCATCGTCCATAGGACAACTGAAGCAAAGTCAACCTAAACATACAGACACAACAAAATAACACATCAATGCTGTCGAGCATGATACCCTGCGCATTTAGCCTGATCATGGTCAAATGGTGACAGCATGCAAGTAAACCTGGCCTGTCGAACGGGGTTTCTCCTAATCCCCTGAGCATCAGCACCATCAACATCAGGATCTGCATCAGCACCGGGAACAGGTACGTCCTGCGCATGGCCAGGATAATCGGCATCAGTCGCCTCTCGCATAGCCTCGGCCAAATCCTGAGCAGAAAAATCCCCGAATGGCTGTGAATGTGGTGACTGCAAGAAACTCGTCGAGTACGCAGTGGGAGTGGCAATCACCGGATCAGAATCATCTGGCTGAGCATGTGCAACTGATGGATCCTGTGGATAAGGTGATGGCCTGTAGTACTCTGTGAATGAGTCTAAGCCCTGTGTGGGCTGTGAACTGCTACCGCCTGCATACATGGGAAACGGCTGACTTTGATACCCATACTGACCCATAGGTGGCGCAGTCTGCCAGGGTGGATACTGTGCTGGATGAACCCCAGGTGCTGCACCGGAAAACTGCGGGGGCTACCAATACTGCTGAGAAGGACCTGCTGGAAATCCAGGCGAATAATACATCCCGGCCGGACGGGGGGGCATGGGAGGGACTATAACAGGCGTATCAGCAACAGTAGGTGCGGAATGGTGCAGGGGCAAACCCTCAATACGCGAACGTCGAGAACGACGCTGGACAGGCGGAGGGTCCTGTGTATTACGTACCACCGGTGGGGCTGCGGGCTCGCCCGGATCTGTCAACCTGGTCATATCATCACAAGCGGCAACTACCCTGAGAGACTCGTGGTAAATCTGATCCATAGAGAACGATACCCGACCCTCCGGCGAAGTCATATGGACCACCGTCTCCGCGCGATCAGCCTGTAGTACAAACATGAAATAACTTGTTAGTGACTGAGAAACAAGATTATAAAACAACACATCAATAATATAACAACATACCACGTGCGTCGCAATCGCAGCCCTGCGGGTCATCCATCGACGGGTCACTCTATGATACCACCCCATATACTCACTGTTAACAGATAGGTGGCCCTGATCAATATGTGCAAGTGGCAAAAGCTCCTGTATTACCAAAGAATCCCTATCCTCCCACTGAGCGATAAAGAATCCATGTCTCTCCCTCTAATCTACGTCTGTCTTGCCAGTGATGCTAATCGTCAAGAGGTCAAGACAACTTATCGGAGCATGTGGAACAGGCTGCTGAAATCCAAACTGCCGTAGAACTCGATCGGGCTGCTGATAGACAACGACCTGGTAACAAATAAGTGGACAGACAGAGATCCATCTACGGGCGGTGTCAGAAGGTGGTGGATGACCTTCGAAACCCAAGTACGGTCTCCAACAAAACTCACGTCTCCGCATAACATCCAAACGATGCCGGTACCTGCGAATGTGTGTGCACACAGTCTGCCGCACATCATAACTGTTAAACCTGCACCAAATAGTCCACAAGCGACAATTACCATACAAGAACTGCTAAAATATTAACATTCGTATAATTTGAATAATTTACATTAACAACATTAATATTACCTGTGTCCATAAGCAGCATGTACATCAGTGACTTCGGGTATTCCAGGAGAGATAGGCGGGAATCTGGTCCACGCCCATAATTGCAATAAGAGTGCACATCCACCCATTTCAGAACGTCTCCTGTCAGTGACTTTGCACAGTTCCTTATATAATACGGCGAGAACTGCAGAGCCCCAACTGTAGGTTCCACACCGCTGAAAATTATCCAAATATCTTAAATATCTCGCAGGAACGAAGTTGGAAGCAGTGTCAACAAACAGTGTCCCCCCGAGTATGCGCAAAATTAGTGCGCTAGTATATCTCATACGGTCAACCTCAGTGTTTGCGTGGCATGCATAATCCCGAAACTTCTGCCGTAGGAAGTGGAGACCCAGCAAACGTCCAGACAAATCCCTACCAGCCTGTGGATTTACGCCTAAGTAGTCATTGACTAACTGATTAAATGGATGTCGTCCATGGCGCCCGGACACAACCTCACCATCAGTGGGCAATCCTAGTAGATGATGCACATCCTCCAAGGTAATGGTGACCTCGCCCATCCGCATATGAAATGTCCGTGTCTCTGGGCGCCATCGCTCGACAAGCGCAGAAACAAGTGAATGGTCTATCTGAAATCATAAAAAATATGTGGTTAATCAGCAATAAATAAATATTTATCACAATGCCATATGCCAAAGTCAGGAGATAGTGATAAAATAAAAAACTACTAACCTCATGATTGCGCAGGCGCGCAACATGGTAGAAGCCAGCCAGCCTCAGCCATGGCTCAATCTCTTCAGGAATGGCACGGTGATCATGTGTCGTAGCATGTCGCACATTAATCACACGATCCGGGACATTCGGATCCTCACAGGTGTTCCACACATGTGTGGATATATGTTTCTCATGTAAAGTTAGGAGAGTCTTGTCTGAAGGCCCAGAGTCAATCACGCTGCGTGGAGACCCAGGACGAGGTGCCTCATCATGCTCCATATCTAAATAAATTAATCCTAAACAATTAAATTAATAATCATCAACCAAAAATTCATGAATATTTGGCTAAATAAATAAAATTAATAAAAGCACAATTCAAAGGTCTTTCTCCATTTAAGTTACTGCTTTAACTAAATTAAAATAAATTGATAATCTATCGTGTCTAAGATCAACAGTAACTAACAATGAAATAAGTATTAAAACATAAATAATAAATTAAATTATTTAAACCTACGATTTTATAACTTAATAGATTCACATAATTTCCAACCTAAGGTTTCAAAATTTTAAGAATTAAACAATATTCTAAATTATTAACGTTTATAAAATAATAAAAAAAATTAATTATGTAGACCTAACCAAAGTCATTTATGCTATTACCAAGAATTAACACATTTATTAACCTAATGGCTCAAATACCAACATTAAATAATATTAACACATTTTACTAGCCTAAGGTTTTAAAACCCTAAACCCAAAATCTAAATTTATAAATTATTAACGTTTATATATTTTGTGCAAATTTTTTAATTATGTAAACCTAATCACAAAATATTACAGCATAAATAAAATTTTTTATTTATATTAGCCTAAGCATTATAGCATGGAATTCATTAACACATTTTACTAGCCTAAGGTTTCAAAAACCAAAATTAAATAACATTACACATGTATTAAAGCTTAAATAATAAATTAAATAAATTACGCCTAATCATTTTTGCATGATTTAAAATTATCACATTTACTAGTCTAAGGTTGGAAATATCAACATTAAATAATATATCACATTCACTAACCTAAAGTTTCAAGTATCAACACTAAATACTACAACATATTTACTAACCTAAAGTTTCAAGCCTAAACACTAAATAATATAACATATTTACTAACCTAAAGTTTCATGCCTAAACACTAAATAATATAACATATTTATAAAAAAAAACATAATTAATGAAACAAACATATTATAAAAGCAATAAAACAAATTACTAACCTTGTAGAGAGAGAATGCACTTAGAGAGAGAGAGAGAGTGAGGGAGAAGATGAGAGAAATTGGTGGGGGGAGGGGGTGGGGACGGAAGGGTTTATATAGCAAAAAATTTGCACCTAATTCGCTACCCAAGGCAGCGAATTAGTGCCATGCTGCCACGTGTCTGACATGCGCAGGGCAGCAGGTGACTGTTGCCACGTATTTCGCTACACAGACTAGCGAAATACGGGTGGCTTGACACGTGTCCAAAAGTTGCCTGGCAGGGCTGACCTTTTGACCACGTATTTCGCTACCCTGTGTAGCGAAATACGTGGACCACTGAGGACGTGACACATCATCAGGCCTAATTCGCTGCACTGTGTAGCGAATTAGCCTGCGTGGCAGTTTGGGAAATTTTAATGTGCGTGTGGCATTCTGGTAAATTTTATGATGAACAGTGGCAAATTGGTCACTGTTCCTAATTGTCAGTAGTAACCTACGTATATATAAATATCACTACTCTATCCTAAGTCACTAATACTTACTACTATAATTTACAATTTCGAAAAGAGTGTTATAAGACTTATTTGAGTGAGAGAGTTAAGAGAGAAGTTGTACATAGAGATTGTGATGCATCCGAGTTGACTGATTTTTTGATTGGACTTTTCTATAATTTATTCTATAGTTTAAGGTTTTTCAATAATTGTTAATTATTTTTCTTTTTGTTATTTTTAGATTACATTTGAGTGTGCGTTGATTGTGTGTTATCTCCTTTGATTGCGCATGATTATAGTTCTTTACTTTTTTTGTTATTTTTATTTTGCCTATTTAAGGCTCGAAGAACCCTATTGTTAGGAGGTTATTTTTGGTTAAATAAAATTAAGAAAAGAGAAAAGTATTTTCTCGCAATTCTTGTTTCGTTCTTTCTTTTTGTTTAACCAATTGGTTACTGCTTCGGCATTAGATTGTGGGGGTGGGGTGGGAATTTTAAAGTATACAACTAGTTACGCATAAACTTGGTGCGCAACAGGATGCATCATTTCCATAATCAAATTGAAAATAGCATTAATGTCATAATTATTTATTTGAATTATAATATTATGATTTTTTTGTCATATATATATAAGTATTTGG